AAATCATACAATGCTTAATCTTCTCTGAGTGACTTCTTTCACTTCCTTTAATATTTTTGGACAGTATATCATCCTCTTTGTAGCTAAATAATTGTCTTTTTAGGGATATACCACTTTTTACTTAAGTTGGTAGGTGTCTGGGCTGTTTCCCTTTTTCAGCTATTTCATATAATGCTGTGAACATTGATGTGCAAGTTATTGAATGGATATGTTTTCATTTCTTTGGGGTAAATATGTAGGAGTGGAGTTGCTGGGCCATTAGTCATTTTGAAAACTGCCAAAAGGTTCTCCAATTTACACCATTTTACATTCCCACCAGCAGTGTATGAAATTTCTAGTTATGGCCTGGTGTTGTGGCTCAGTGGTAGAGTGCTTGCCTAGCATGTGTGTGGTACTGTGTTCCATCCTCAGCACCATATAAAAATAAATAAATAAATGTATTTTGTCCATTTGCAACTAAAAAAAGAAAAACTTAAAAAAAATAGTTCCAGTTTCTCCATATCCTCATTATTGCCTCTTTTTTAATTTTAACCATTCTAGTGGGTGTGAAGTTGAATCTGTAGTTTGTTTCTGTTTTTTCCTACTGACTAATTATGTTAAACATCTTTCACCTGCTTATTAGCCTTTTGCATGTTTTTTTAATTTTGTTTGGTTGCCATGCTGGGGATCAAGCCCAGTGCCTTGCCCATGGCAGGCAAGCACTCTAGCACTGAGCTATACCCCTAGCCAAGTTTTTTTATATTCTGAATACAGTTCACCTATGAGATAGATGATTTGCAAACATGATTTCCCATTCTGTGGCTTGTCTTATCATTTTTTTGATGATATCATTTTCAACAGAAGCGATTTTGATATATTCCAGTGCATCTATTTTTTTTTCTTTTGTCACTTGTGCTTTTGTTTTAGTATATAAGAAACCATGAAAGTTGAGAAGATTTACTTCAATGACTTCTTTTGAGTTTGACCCTTTTCTTATAGTTAGATCTGTGATCCATTTTTAGCTAATTGTTACATATGGCCTAAGGAAGGGGTCCAACTTCATTCTTTTGGGTGTTGATTCCAGTTGTTTCACCATCATCTGTTGAAAAGATTATTCTTTCTCTCCATTTCCTTATTTGGCTTCCTTATACTACTGACTTTTTAAAAAAATATATTCTTAGTTGTAGATGGATACAATACCTTTATTTTCTTTATTTTTTTATGTGGTGCTGGGGATTGAACCCAGTGTCTCACACATGCTAGGCAAGTGTTCTACTACTGAGCCACAATCCCAGTCCAGAACTAACTGACTTTTATATACTGTTACAGCTTTGTGAAATTTCATTACAGAATTACTTGGGGTTATTTGTCTGAGAGAAATGTGAAATTAAGTTTCATGGTTTTAAAATACCTACAGAATGTATATTATGTTCTATCCTTTGTCAAATGTTGATTTATTTTATAAGGTTAAGATGCTGAAGATCTGTAGAACATAGATAAAATATTTAATACAAATGAATACATCTATATTTGGGAGTAATTTTTCTTGCATGAATATTAAGTTGTTGTGTCATAGTATTTTAAACTTTACTATCAGAATATTCTCTTTCCTTGTAGTAGGTAAACATTTGGTAAAGTCTTGAATAGAGGGAATATTATCATTTGGAGATGAAAATGTCTAGTTAATGTGTTAATTATAATTCATGAGTAACTAGGTACTTTTCTACATTCCTGATTTTTTTTTCTTACAGCAAAGTATCCAGAGATAAAATCCTTGATGAAACCTGATTCCAACTTGATATGGATTATAATTATGATGGTTCTCACCCAGTTGGTTGCATTTTACTTAGTAAAAGACTTGGACTGGAAATGGGTCCTATTTTGGGCCTACGTCTTTGGCAGCTGCATTAACCACTCAATGACTCTGGCTATTCATGAGATTTCCCACAATTTTGCCTTTGGCCACCACAAGGCACTGTGGAATCGCTGGTTTGGAATGTTTGCCAATCTTCCTATTGGGGTTCCATATTCGATTTCCTTTAAGAGGTATCACATGGATCATCATCGATATCTTGGAGCTGACGGCATCGATGTGGATATTCCTACTGATTTTGAGGGCTGGTTCTTCTGTACCACTTTCAGAAAGTTTCTATGGGTTATTCTTCAGCCTCTCTTTTATGCTTTTCGACCTCTGCTCATCAACCCCAAACCAATTTCTCATCTGGAAATTATCAATACTGTGGCCCAGATCATTTTTGACATTATAGTTTACTACGTTTTTGGAATTAAATCTTTAGTCTACATGTTGGCAGCATCCCTGCTTGGTCTGGGTTTGCACCCAATTTCTGGACATTTCATAGCTGAACATTACATGTTCTTAAAGGGATATGAAACTTACTCATATTATGGGCCTCTGAATTTACTCACCTTCAATGTGGGTTACCACAATGAACACCATGACTTCCCCAATGTTCCTGGAAAAAACCTCCCACTGGTAAGTAAAGGACTTGATGCATATTCTGATTTCTGATTAGTATGTAAGAAAATTAGTTTGACTTGCTTATTTTAAAGAGTCCACTATATTTTGTCAATCTAAGCTGCTCATCAAAGAATGGGGAGAAAAGGGAAGGATGTAAATGCTGTGTCTGCCAGCTTAATTCTACAAAGAGTTAACTATCCTTACGCTTAATTTCTGAATTTAGGGTTCAGAAATGTTGAAAGATATATATATATATATATATATATATATATATAATTTGGAAATAGAAAACTAAGTCCCTTGTGATCATGATCACTATTAAACCAGTGCTAAGACTTGTTTAATTTATGATGAACAGATAATCTGGATAATTGGTCTGCAAAATTAATGGACAACAGTTTCCAATACCATAATCTTTCTTAATCAGGAACTCTTTCTTTTGACCAAAGACTTTGTTTATTGTACTTTTACTGTAATACTATGGTTTTGCAGGAAAATGTCGATTGGTGATACATGTTGAAATATCTAGGGATGATATATTAGGGCTAAGTTGTCACATAATTTCTCCACCTTTCAAAAAGTTCAGAAAAGAACAAAGTGTGTGGGTTTATTAGATATAATACAGTTTTCATAGTACACAGAGAGAAAGCAGATTCATAGGGTTAATCAGTGGTAAAACAGGTGAGGGCACATTAGTGTTCATTTTATACTTTTTGACTTTTGAATAGGTTTTACATTTTCAGAATAAAATGCATGGGAAAAAAATTAGCACACAACTGCCTGAAGACAGTTTGAGCCTGTGCTGTGATGCAGTGTCATGCGGGTGTCATGCTGACCATATAGTGGCCTGAACAGAGTGTGCAGCCTTTGTTTGCCTTTTCTGTGATTAGGAAAGTGATTATTATATAATTTGTTAAAAGGAATGTGGTTTAAGAAGAAAGCCAGTCACCCTTTGGACAGAGGGGGTTTTTTTCAACATAAACTGATACTTTCATTTTTCTAGAACAGTTCCAGAATTGAAAACTTAGTTCAGTCATCACTTGACTTAAGGCCCAAAGTACATCTCTGACTATTTACTTCCCTTTCCCTTTCATGATGTCTTCTTATTCAGTTATCCCTAGAGTTCACTTGTCTTGCCTTCCCTATTCTGTGCTGTGGTGTTGAGGAATATCTTCTTTCCTCAATAACTACCTGATATTTGCTGCATAAATTATAGTAGTTATACTATATATAACTATTGTATGGTTAGTAAGTATTCAATATGAAGTGTTTTTTTTAACATCTATATTAAAATCACTCATATCATTTCCCCCACTTAAAGTATACATTTCAGAGATTTTTAGTATAATCAGAGTTGTGCAGCTATCACTATAATTAATTTTAAAAAGTTGTTATAGTAAGATTTTTAATTTAATATCTTCATTTTTTTAAGTTTAATTTTCCCTTATTTTTGGTGAGCTTTGCATGTTTTTCCATTATCTCACAACTCTGTAGAACACATACATAGACATCCAGAGATTTATTTTGTTAGCATTTAAATATAACTAGACACATTGGCTAATAAATTCTCAGGTTTTTTAACTCCTAATATTAAAGAATTTATTGATTTTTTTCTTATTGTCTTTGAAACATTTACAAATTATCAACTTTTTATTTTCATTATAATCATAATATTTCAATATGATTTGTTTGATTGCAGTGTTTGTATTCAGTGTCTAAATTGGCAGATATTTTACATTTTGGAAAGATGGTATCTTTCTGTTCTATTTGATGGTATCTTTCTGATCTAGCCAATAGTGATCACTAAAATTTATTGACCATAAATTCACTGTGGATTATGATCAAGGTTTATTTATACATATGTGTGGACTGTAGATCATCCTTGTTTGAAAGAATTTTAGGAAGTTTGGAAGGACTAGGAACAAGTTACCTCCCCTTGGAGGGGGATTTGATATTTCATCCTTTTCTGTTTTGTGTCAGACATTCACCAGTCATCCTTGATAGGCCCTAGTGTAACACTTGCTATCATCTTGCTGTATTTTGTCCCTTCCAGGTGAGGAAAATAGCAGCTGAATACTATGACAACCTCCCCCAGTACAATTCCTGGGTGAAAGTACTGTACGATTTTGTGACGGATGATACAATAAGTCCCTACTCAAGAATGAAGAGGCATCCAAAAGGGAAGGAGGTACTGGAGTAAATATCACCACGGCCAAAGGAATTCCTCTCTGAAGTTTTATAATAGCTGACAAAGTGGAATTTTTGCTGAAAACTGAAGATCAGTGATGCTTAGAAGCTATCATGACACAATTTCAAACTAGGATCTTCCTGCTGTTAAGAAACTAATCTTGGGCTGGGGATGTATCTCAGTGATGGAGCACTTGCCTGCAGCATGCCTGAGGCCCTGGGTTCAGTCCCTGCCATCAAGAGACAATAGAAGCAGCAGCAGCTGCTACTCAGGCTTCAACAGGCAGCCTTACCCCTTCATGCTCAGCTTTACTCACTGTATTGTCGTACCTAGAGGATCTTCACCCATTTCTGTCATTTTGTAAACATATCATAAAGAGTATTTCTAGTGTGTTATTTTCACTATAAAGTTTTACTTTATTAAAATAGCTAATGAACTGAGCTGTTAATCACAGTATATTAGTATTTGTTGCATTTTTGTATTTTTCTGTCTTTATAATATGGTTACCTGAGTATTAGGGGGAACTTTCATTAAAATTTCACTCCAAAAATAATAATTTAAAAAGGCTGCAAGTTCGTACAGTATAAATGATTGAGATGGAAATGTTGCCGAACTACTTAAATTTTTCACTGTTGTACATGAGACCTCAGTTAGATTCTGCTGAATTCTGTACAGCCTACTCATGAATAAAGTAGTTACTGAACTTAATGATGGCCAGCATCCAACTTCCCTTCAGATGTACTGACACTCTCACACATTAGTAATGGCTTAACTGATAGTCTTCCATGATCTTCATTCCAGGGGAAACTGATTGTAGGCTGATGGCAGGTATTTAGTATAAGGAGCCAGTATCATGGGCTATTAGACCAGCAGTCCTGGTTTTCTCAGATGGGTCACTTGGGGTGAATATGGTATAATATGGGAAACTATTATTAAAATATATTAGCTAATTATGGTTTTATGTAGTGGAAGGCAACTCCCAGGCAGCTAAGTGTGAAGAGAAGAATCTTCCAGGGACTGGCAAATGTGCTTTACAGTTTCAGCCCACAGTGCTTTGCTTTCCTTTCCTGACTCCCTAGCAAGGGAAATTCCTAGTAACATTGAATCTGTTGCTTAAATAACCATTGATCTAAAGTATAGAAGGATAATAGAACCAACTTTGCAATTCAGATTTACTCTGTCACTAAAAAGGTATCTGTGAAATATATCCATGGATTTACTACTACTTTTAAACAGACTGTATTCTTTTGACCCCTTGATTCCTCTCACCTGTAGAACTCTAGCCTAAAACTCCCAAATCTCCTCTGAATTCCACTACCTGCTAGATATAAAATACATGATCATCCCTCCCCATAATTTCTGTTTCCCTTACATTATCACTTTTTGCTGGTTAGACATTTCAGAGTTCTAGCAGGCCTACCTAGTCTGGCTCCCATGCCAGCTCAGTCCATTCTTTAAGAGATCTGCCAGTTGGGGCAGCAGGAAGGCTGAGCCCTGGAACCTTCAAGAAATTAAGCTTGAGGAATCATGCTTTCACATGCTTCACACTAGCTCGCAGTTCTGGCTCATTCCTTCTCTTTTCTGGTCTGATAATCTTGTCTCAGGGCTCCAAGGCCTTCCCTGGACCATCTCCACCCTACAGCAGGTACCACTTTTTTGGACCCTGAGGACCAATGATTACCTCCTCATCTTGTCTCCAACCACACTGTTTTGTAAATAGACAGTTTGTCCCCCCCCCCCCCCAGGTTTCAACTCTTCAAGGGCTGAGGGATCTTCTGTAGTTATGTTCTTAAAGCTCACATGATCAGTGCTGGCCTTGGAGTAATTGCTTGATAAAGGAATAAGACCAGCAGAGAGTCTTTGAACTTGAGAAGTTTTATCTAAAACAGCCAAAACAGGGTTTGTATAACCTTCAGGTAAGTATGATATATTAAAAACAACAGACATTTCTTGAGAATTCTTACTTTTCACCTACACCAAGTGTTTACCTGGAAGTCTCAACAATTCTATGATGTATTAATATCTTCATTTTGTAGATGAGAAAACCAAGGCTAAGAGAGATTATGTAACTGGTCCAAGGTCACACTGAGTACATTGCAGAAACAGAATCTGAAAATCACACCGTGACTCCAAAATCAAAACTCTTGACCAGGCTCCCCATGGCTTGTCTAGTGAGCCTGCCCAGGGAGTAGCAAAGAAAATCTAAAACGTGTTCTATTACCAAATTGGTGCTCAGTCCACTTTTATGTTCTGGAGAGATGTCTCTGGTTTTAACAATGTTTACCAATCTAAAATCCTAATATGAAACATTCATGTTTAAATCCTTAGCAAAGTTGCATTTATTCATTTTGTAGATTCTTTATCAAATGTTGCATTAGAGAGTGAGGACTCAAAGTACGATCCCAAACCAAGGAGCTGGGCAATGCATATTCCCATTCAGCAGAATTCAGTAATAAGGGACTTCACAAAATAGGATTGACACATGGCTGGATCCAGTGCTTTGTCAGTCAGTACGTACAGAATGATAGTATTCTAATCCTCCATCCTGACAAGCTAGCTATTTTTTTTAAATATATTTTTTTTAGTTGTAGATGGACACAATATCTTTATTTTTTTATTTGTTTATTTTTATGTGGTGCTGAGGATTGAACCCAGTGCCTCACACTTGCCAGGCAAGTGCTCTACCACTGAGCCACAACCCCAGCCTCATGACAAGCTAGCTATTAACCTCCACACTTTCTATGTGGAGATGTTGCTGAAAACTCAGTCCTTGTCCCTAATGCCAGTCCAATAACGAGAACACAGTTGTATGGAAAAGAAAAGGTTCATTGCTTTGCTAGCAAAGGAGAAACACAGAAGACTCCTGTTCAAAACACTGATTCTGCCCATCAGCAGGAAGGGGTTTTTAAAGAGGTGATTAAGAGAAAATGAGGTTAGGGAGGAGAGATCAGAAATAGAAGAATAGGGAAAAGAAGATCAAGGAGGAGAAGGTTAGGGAAAAGATGAGGGAGAAGAAGTTTGGGGAAAAGAAAAAAAAGTTTCAAAGCCACAAGTGAACCCCTATTATGGAGGAACTGAATGTCCATCTTCTGGGGATTAACCTGAAGCCACCTCTGTCAAAGCTTACACTGTTCTGCTATAATACTTGTCCCGCTGACTTGAAGAGCTTTCACAGGACAAGAAAATGTGCTGTTTCTTGTTAGGCAAATCTTCCTGGAGCTTCAATAATTTGCAATGAAGCAAGAACAGTCTGATGACCTAAGGCTGGGAAGGCCCTGAGAAAACTACCCTCAGAAACCCAAGAGTGTTAAGGTACTTTCCATACTCAGTTCTGAGGACCAGCATGGCTAAAGCCTGTAGAGGAAAGAGCAGGCAGTGAACCATCAGGAGGTGAGGCCTGAGGCTGATGAGCTGAAAGCCCTGAAGTGGCTACAGTGTCAGCAGTGAGTGAATGGATAATATTCCACTATTGCCATGTATGAAATAAATAAATAAAAAGAATCGGGGGCATCATCCAAAAAGGGACACCTTTGCTTCTGCCAAGTTTCATCTGTATTGGCTGATGGCTCAGGAAGCCAGTAACTGGACTCCACCCAGGGGAAGTTTCAGGTGGCACTGAGTGGACACCTCACTGTATTTCTGAAGGCAGTGGCTCTCACAAACGTGAATTGACGAAAAGACCCAATGCGAAGGCAAAGTTCAGTTAGGGGATCCTTGGGAACTGTGGCTGGGTGGGGCTGCTAGTATAAACAGCACCTTCTGGGAAGGAAGGTGGAACCCAAGGAAACACAAGGTGCCCTTATATCACAAGCAGACCATTGGTTAGTAGGCACACATCTCTGTCCTTGCAGTTCCTGAGGGAAAGGACTGAATGGACGCTGTGTGAAAGATGGAAGAATCCAACTGCCAACAGTGAGATGCTAAATCCTTGTGGAGCAGCAATCTCCAATCCAAGCAGGGCCTCTGTAATCCCCTCCCCTGTGAACTTATTCTCAAAGGCTGCCCCAAGAGACCTTTGGGGAGAGTTTCATAAGACCCAGAATGACCCTTCATTTGTCCAGGTAGTGGTGTGAGCCTCAATGAGCAGCTGAGAATTCTTTTGGCATAAGAGGGTGTCACCCTCTCCACCCAACCCCTTTTCCTTCCCATGCTGAATAGTAATCCCCCTCTTGGCCATAACCACACACGGAGAAACCTGTTTCCCCTCCAGGCTGGGCATTCCATATGCCAGAAAGTGGGTTCCTTTCTATCTTCTTCAGAAGAAACACACTCATGTGATCTCTCCTATTTTTAAGCTCATGTCTGCTTCAGCACCAACAAGGAGAAGGCCCTGCCTGCTCACACAGCCCTATTAGAGGCTCCCTGTCCACACTCACTGAACTCTGAATCCCCACCTCTCAGGGCTGAGTTCTTCCCTCTGCACCCACCTCTGCTTCCCAGAGTGTTGTTCCTGGGGAATCTTCCTTACACTTCACTATCCAAGGATTCTCCTCAACCCAAGGGGTCAGAGGCCCCAGGAAAGCACCCCAGATCATGAGGGGATTACTTTACAGAGACTTGATCATACATCAGTCTGGCAACTCCTCACAATCCCCGCCACAAACACTTTGAGAACTCTTTTTGAGTGAAAAGAACTTCAGATTCTAATTTAATTCTAACACCCTTCAATTTTGTAATAGCAATTCTTTATTTCCTGTTACCTTCTCAAAAATACATATATGAAAACAAGTCAGGTCATCAAAAATCAAGACTAAATGACAAATTCAACCCACATGAATATTGCCCCTCAGGCCTCATATCCCTGATGTTTTCTGTGTCCACAGGTTTGCTTTCCCTCAGGGCACCTGTTTCTGTCCTTGCTCAGTCCCAGCCCAGCCCTGGGGCCATCAGGGGAGATTTTGACTGCTTAAAGCAGTCTGCAGCCCTTTGTTTCCACTAGGAGTCGATGAGAGGGTTAAAGGAAAATCTCAGAAACCTCAGTCCTTTGGGAAGTGAGTTGGCCATTAGCTCATCAGCCTGGACACTCAGGAAAGCCCCTAAGCACTCTGTATTAATACATCCATATTCCTCTGATTCCTGTGTTATTTTTTCACGGGCTCAGGAACAAGTATAATTATGTCTTAGGAAAATAACCTTTCTATTTCAATCCAATTTAGTATCTTTATCTCCTTTTAAATCGCACAAGGTTAAGTACATAATCATATCACCATTTAAAGGAAGAAAAAACTGAGACTCTGAGATGTTAGGTTACTTGCCTTGAGTTGACCAGCTTGATCTCAGGTGGAGGCCTAAGCAAAACCTGAACTGAACCACCCCTATCCTAAGTCTAAGCACTGGCCACCACCCGCTTACACCATCTTCAATTTGTGGTCCACAAAGAACTTCTATTTATGTATGCAGTGTGGGGTTGGGCAATAATGTGTCCAGGTGGGAATTAAGAAGTCTAAAGTTTC